CAAGCATCACTCTGGTCTGTCTGTTTGTTTGTCTGTCTGTCTGTCTGTCTCGTCGCGCTCGCTGTTGCAGAACGCTTTGCCTTTGAGATGATACTGACGTTTTGAATTGCGCTCCCCTTTCAACCGACTCGCACGACTGGGGGACTCGTCGTCACAAACAACCAAAACTCGCAATGATATTGTAACGCTCGAGCGAGTCTGAGCTGGGAAGGGCGGAAAGGGCGGAGCGGCCCGGACGATGGGGCAAACAAACGGAAGATGCAATGGCAATGCACTCACCATTATTGCTTTCAACAACGACTGAGCTTCATTCTAAGAAGATGAGCCGATCTTATGGATTAGCGGACGTCGTTTGGATGGAATACTGTATATGGGCTGGTGGAACACTTTGAAGATGCAAAGCTCGGTTTCAAAATTGAAGTACAGTACATCCCTTCCACAAAGCCCTCAACCACATGAAGAAGAAACGATTCAATCTATGGAAGACAATGCAACGACACACACACACAACTCCTCTTCAATAATCTTGGTCGCTGTCGTCCTCGTCGCTGGATGCGGCCTTTCGGCGAGACTTTTTGCCCCGCTTGCCACCCTTGCCTGCTGGCGAAGGTGCGGCGGCAGCGCTGTTGTTGTTGTTGCTGTTGCTGTTGCTGTTGCTGTTGTTGTTATTGTTGCCGGAAATGCTAAGACCACTCGCCGCTTGCGCCATGGCTTCGTCTTCGGCCTCCAAAATCGCGCGAAGAAGCGCCACCTTCTCCAGGTGCTTCTTGGACCGTTCGTGATTCTCCCATGCCTTTTGGGACTTGAACACCTTCTTGCAAGCCACGCAGAGCAGTTCTTCAGGTTCGTCATCGTCGTCCATGTCGTCCTGCTGAGCGACGCCAGTCCCAGAGCTGCTGCCGTCCGCCAGAGCGTCTTCTCCCTCAGGTGAAAGCGTGGTCTCATTGGCCTCTGCAGGTGTGGAGCTGCCGTCCTCCTGCGCAGCGTCGTCGGATGCGGCTGCGGCACGGTTTGCGCCCTTGTTCGCGTCCTTGCCTTTCTTGCCTTTGCGCTTCTTCCCGTGGAAGTCGTCAAGAGCATTCTCAACCAGCGCTAAATCGTCCTCCATCTCCTTGAGATTGGAGGCAGCAATGTGGCGATACTGCTCGGCGTCGGCCGCACGGCGCATCTTTTCTTCCTTCAAGCGCTGCTTGTGCTTGGAAGCGCGCTCGTCCTGCTCGCGCTCCATGCGCTCTAGATACGCATGCACGCGCTTATCTCGCTTGCGCAGGTACGCGACGAGCTGAATAACGTTGTCATTGTACTCTTTGCGAGCCTTGTCGCGCTGTTTCTGGTTGTCCTTTTCCATCAGGCGCTTAATCTGGCGATTCGGGGCCTCTCGCGTGTCGTACAAGTCCTTGCTAGCGAATGGTCGTCGTGTTGAGAACGCACTCCAGTGGTTGTAGAAGGCGGCACCGACCGTCTCGTACGGGCTCGTGGATTTGCCGAACGGCGGGAACATGGACGTGTTTGCCTCTTGTTTGCGCGACGCCGACTCCTCGGCCTTTTGCTGCTGCTGCTGGTTGTTGTGATGCTTTTTCTTGTTCTTTGAGCCATGTCCACCGGCATCGCTCGCAGCTGGCGTTGGGCTTTCCAGCATTCGCGGCGATTCGGTGCGGTTTGGCCGCTCTGGCGTCGCTGCGCCACCTCGCTTTGCCTTCCGGCTGCCGCTCTTCGTCTTCTTCTTGTTGCTGTCCTTTGCATCTTGGTCCTCCTCGTCCTCATCGACCTCGTCCTCATCGACCTCGTCCTCGTCGTCGCTCGGCGGGATTTCGTAACGGTCTTGGCGAGCAGCGTCTGCAGCCGTGTAGAACTGCGCCTCGTCCTTGGCAATGCGCTCAAACAGCTTTGCAAACACAGTGTAAAACCCGTCCTCGTCGTCGCCAAAGCCCGCGTACGCGTCGGGGCTAAAGTACGGCACGAGGTCGACGCCTTCCTCGCCCGACGACCCGTCTCCGTCTGCGCCCCGCATCAGCGAGTCCCTGCCGAGATGCAAGTGCACCAAACACAGATGCAAACACAAGTACAATAACACACCAATGCAGCTGGGCAGTGAGAGATCAAAATCTGCAAATCTGAGGCCTTCGTTGACAGACACGTGTGGTTTTCGCATCCAAATTTCTCAGATTCTTCCGATTCTCAGAGCAAAGCTTTGTTTGTTCCCCTCCCTTCTTATATTTCGCAGTGCTTACCGATGCGAGTCGTACCAGGCGCGCTCGTTCGCGTCGCTCAGCACGTCGTAGGCCTTCTGGATCAAGGTGAAGACTTTGGTGCACTCGGCAATGTTGTCCGGGTTCTTGTCCGGGTGCCACTTCAGCGCCAGTTTGCGATACGTCTTTTTGATATCGTCGGCAGTCGCTTGCTGCTCGACGCCGAGCACTTCGTAGTGACAGCGCATCGGCATTGTGCCTTTTTGGTGGAGGAAAATGAAAAAAAAGAGACTGAGTGCCGAGATGAGATTTGGTAACAACGAGACGTTGATGATGATGAAATACACGGACATGTATATTGATTGTCACAAGGCCAGGTACTTGACTTTCTTAGATTTTGGATTGCTCAATCAGTTTGCTCAGATCAAAACAGCTCAGAAGTCCAGTCTGTTTTCAAAGGAGCGTTAATGATAAAGTGTGGTTTCCCCAAAAAATCGCTCATCAAAAAAACAGTACTGCATCGGCAAAAAAATAAAATCCTCAAAAAATCAATAAAAAAAACAGTACAGCATCCGATTCCCCCGACTCGCATCAAAAAAATGCAAAAATGAACAGTCAAAACAATTGACTTTTTCGAGGGTAAAGATTCGTTCCCGAAATCGTCGTTTTTCGAAAAAACCCCTAAGCATCGTCCAATATTTGTGAAAAAATGAATAAAAAATAGGTACAGCAGAGCGAGATGAAAACGACAAAAATCGATCCCGAAATCGTCCTTTTTTTGAAAAAACCCCAATGCATCGTCCAATATTCAGAGCGATTCAACAGAGAAAAGGGGTACAGCAGAGTGAGAAGAAAAAGCAGGGGAAATGGTTATGGGATCAGTTTTTACAAATTGAAGAAATAAGAATAAAGTGCGATGCATGTACGAAAAGGAGGTGGAGGAGGGACGGCGGGGGTGAGGAGGCTGATCTGATTTGAAAAAACAAAAGCGTATAAGAAGAACGCTGATACTGCATCGATTTCTACCCCTGCACCCTCTTCTGGGGATTCCTACTATGCCTCCCACTTCCCTTTTTTGAGAGATTATTTCTTATGTAATTATAGATGCCATTGATTAATTATTATGAAGAGTACGATCGGTTGTACCCGAAAACATCCATGTACAACCCAAATGAAGCAGAAGGCGCGCCAATACATCCATTCATGGCTGTTGTAGCCGGAGGGACAGGTACGGGGAAGACGAACGCAGCGTTAAATATTGCAGATAAATGTCAGTGCTTTGACTACATATTTATTGTCGCTAAAGATCTCAATGAAAAATTGTATCAGATGTTTATCGATAGGATGTTGGCGATCGAGGAAGAAGTTGGTGTGTCCACTATTGGTTTCACAGATAAGCTCAGTGAGCTTCCTCCCGTCGAGTTTTTCGATCCTATGCGTCAGAATTTAATTATCTTTGACGATCAGGTGTGCGAGAAGAAGAAAGATCAAATGAAGATCGCAGAGTATTTTATCCGAGCGCGTAAGCAGAATTGCTCGTGTATTTATATCACTCAGCGGTATATGGAAGTTTTGACACTTATTAGGGATCAGGCTCACTACAAATTCTTTATGGCGCTTGACGATATTGATTCCATTAAGAGGATCATGCGTAGACAGCTTGATGGCGACATGACGATGGAAAAAATCATGCAGATGTACAGAGAAGCAACCAAGGAAGACTTAAGTTTCTTTATGACTGATAGAATTAAAAGCAGGGGTGAGGACAAACGTCATTTAAGATATCGAAAGAATTTCGATGAATTATGGGAAGACGATTCGGATGAATTATCGGACGATTTGTGCTGAAATCCAAGTATTATTTACGACCTGATCGGACTGCGACTGCAAATAATACTTGGATTTCAGCACAAGTCTGTTTTCTCTACTTCTTTTAAATATTACTGTACTGTATATACAAAATGGGTTTCAGGCAAGTAGATCTCAAAAAGATCGCAAAAATAGAGGAACAGGCGGCTAATGCCCATAAACAGCTTGCTCTCAACAAATACGTCGCAGACGGTGATATCAATAAAGTTTCTTTCTTGACTGACACTGATTTAGAGCCGACAACTTTAGCTACTCAATTGGAGGCTAGAAAACAAGAACGTGCCCTGTCCAGAGCCGTTGCGCCAACAAATGAGCTGATTAAGAAGGGTTTATTCACAGAAGAAACTTCCACAGATGAGTCGACTGGACAAGTTACTACCGCACAAGTTCCAAGGCTAGCAATCACATATGATGAGAACGGTCGCGTGACCGGTGCCAGTAACGGGCGTATTGCTATTGAAGACGGTGATGCTGAGCCAAGAATCAAAGAAATTGCTGGCGATGTGGAGATAAATGGCTACAGATACGGCATCGAAGAAATTCTTGAAGATGCTGATGAATTAGAAGAGCGCTTGTCTGAATATATAGTTGAGATAGATGAGTTGCTTGCTGCTAACCCAGCCTTACAAGCGACTAGAGACAATGCCACCGAGAAGCTTCAATCAGTTATTAATGTACGTCAGATGGGTGATTTGACTCCAGACGCAGCGGAGGCGTACGCAAAAACGTGGTCAGAGATTAAGCAATTCGATTTGCCTGATAAAAAGAAGGTAGATGGTGGTAAAAGAATTGTGGAGCAAGTGAAGTTGCTCACAAATGACTTCCTCAATATCGAAAATAATATACCAGTAGAAGGAGCTAATTCCAATGTATCGGGTGAGTTAGTCATTCCGAACCGTCACAGAGTTGAATTATTATTTGAACAGGACGCCGTCAAAAATAAACAATATGTTGATGAATTCAAGAAGAATATTGAGAATGTGTATCAAGTTGATGGTACCCCGAACTATGTGTATCGAAACCCCAACACCGGCATTATTCGGTTTCTAAATGTCGAAACTGGTGATAGCGAAGCCGTGCGAATGACTGCTGGTTTACAACGGCTCTTGTTTGATCCAGCTGGTGTTGTTGCAGACGGAGAAAAGAGTATCACCAAAGCAGATTTACAACATTACAACAAAATCTACGAGCATATGAATATTCCTCCTGCGTACGCTAGTTTGCGCGCTTTATACGACGAAGCTCAGACTTCTCAACCTCCTTCACCTAGTAGCTCTGCTGATTCTGAACTCAACGACCCCACGTATGCGCCTGAACAAGATGATGATGTTTATGACATAGATAATATCGAGTTTACAGATGATGATGTGAATGAAGCTGCCGTCCGCAAAATCACTACAGAGCTGTCTGTGGCCATACCTTGGGCACAACTGTCAGACACACAAATCAGTACCAAAGTAGATGAATTACGAGCTCAATTAATTAAGCTTGAACAGTATCGAAATAACCTTTATTCAGACGAAGGCATGGATTCTAAATCTCCAGAGGTCAAGGCCGTCCAAAAGCTCATCGCATCGTGTCAGCGTAAAATCAAAACAGGAGAGAGAAAACTAACTGATAACGAATCTGACAGGCAAGAAGAAGCTGCGTCAAAGAAAGGGAAGAAACCAGCCGCATCAAAGAAAGGGAAGAAGAAAGGAGGTGCGGTAAATAATACTAGTAGTTTCATAGAGAATCTTAGACGGTCGATTTCGACTGTCAAATAATACTTGAAATTTCTGATAGATTCAAAATGAAGTAAATAATACTCCATTTCGATACAAAATCTTATTCGAATGTATAAATGGTTGGATTCAGAGAAGTCGACCGCATTGGTCTAGCAGAAATTGACATGAGAGAGAGCGCGGTAATGAGACAATTAGCGCTGAAAAGAGCTATAGCGGACGGAGATATAAATCGCTATGAATTCCTCACAGGGATGGATTTGGATGTGCCTACGATTGAAAAGAAAGTCGCAGACAGGAGACAGCAACAAGTGTATAGTAAAGCTCTTGCACCAACAGAGAATTTACTAACTGAAGGATTATTCAGTCAACAAATAACGCCAGAAGATACTCGTGTCCTTGTCCCATTTTTGAAGTTACTCACACAATTGATGGGAAATGCCGCGGCTCCTCAACCAGCGGCTCATCGACCAGCTGCTCCCCGACCAGATGCTTCGTCAGCCGGAGATGAGGGTGATAATGATAATGGTAATGATAATGGTAATGATAATGGTAATGATAATGGTGATGATAATGACAATGACAATGATAATGGTAATGACAATGATAATGGTAATGGTAATGATGATAGCGTGGGTGCACCACCACCGCCACCACCACCATCATTCCTGCCACCCCCACCACCACCGCCACCATCATTACCACCAGCTGGCGATGATTTACCATCGATGACTACACCAAAACTGAAACCGAGACCAGTAACAGATCCAATCAAGAATGAATATGACGATATGCCGATGGTGAAGAGAGCTGTCCTTATCAGCAATCTATCAAAGCTCCCTGAACAAAAAAAGTCGTTAGAAGACACTTTGAATGGTTTTGTTACCGAACTCTTCAGCGAAGGAGTGTCGGACGATGAAATCAGAAAAGCAGTGATCGAAACCTCAAAATTGAAGAAATCTATTGCGAAGCGTGAATCTTTAATAGCCAATGATAATGATAAGCTTTTACGAGCACGATCAAGATCCGAACCAAGTGTAGTATCCAAGTTAGAAGAAGATATTGCCAAAAATAAAGCCAATCTTCTTCAGAGCCAAAGTGAATTGGCAGCCTTTCGCCAACAGTACAAGGTGGGCGACGAAAATGAAATTAATAAATTGGAGAGTCAGATTGATGTAACGTTAGATGAGCTGGCTGATGTTACAATTAGACTGGATGCTATTGAAAAATTCAGACCCTATGTTGACACACAGGGAAGTAAAAAATCAGGGGATACAAGAGGAAGTGAGAAGGATAGTAGTGACATTCTGGAGAAAAGTATCATAAAACAAATTGCTCAGATCAAAAAATCTCTCGAAGGCGAGCAAGAGGAGAAAGCATTCAGAGCAATTGAGAAAGAAGAAGAACAAGTTCCACCTGCATGGAAAGACAAGTACAATAATTTATCACGAGACATCTTTAATGAAAGGTCAGAGCGCGATGAGATATTGAACAAGTTGGAAAATGCTAAGAATGAAAATAATAATGAAGCAGTTGCCGCATTGAAAACAGAGTTGTTGCAAAAAAACGACAGAATCAAAAAACAAGTCGACAAACTAATATACCGTGGACAAAACAACGCATACGATAATATGATAAAAAGATATACTGATTGGTTATTTGTTAAGGAAAGTGTGGACGAACGGGAAAATAAAATACGAAACTTGGAAACAGAATTAAATACAATACGCAAAGGAAAGCAACCATCTACTTCGGGTCAAGGTGTTTACAAACGCCCTGTGCGTGAATCCATTCCCTTTGGTGACTGTTTTATTGACAAAAAGAAGTTGAAGAAGAATGTATTATCGATTTCCAAAGCAGACGGTCGAAAGCTCGATGGTTTCCCGAACGCAAACATTTCAGACAACTTCAAGAAATTGTTTACTAAGCAGAAAATCAATACTAATAAATTGGATCTCACAGATGGAGAACGCACATATTACGCAAAGCTGGTCGCAAAAACGAAGCACGATCTTTCGAAATCTACAAAACAAAAAATAATTGAAGGTGCAGGTACGAATATCATTGTACAGTCAAAAACGGAGCTGAAAGAGAAGCTGAAACTGTTGATGGCTGAGACAGATGCAGGGAACGACAGCATTGAAGTAAAGAACCAAATAGCCGAGATGGTTGAATATTTACGTAAGGCAAAAGCATTAACACCGAAGGAATCACGACATATACTAGAGAAATATGTTA